TCTGCCAGTCATACAGACCAGAGGCGGATCCCCGCTCTGTCACTGCCAGCTGTGAGGCCTCAAACAAGTCCCTGCACACTCCAGCCCTCTGTGTCTTGGTCAATAAAATGGGGATAACAACACTGTTCTCACAGGTGAGAGTAGAGATTAAATACATAGTAAGCAAAGGGACTAACATCTACTTATTCATTTTGGCTTGAAACAGGCCAAGCAGTGTGCTAGGAAACGGGGCCACACCATCCGGAGCCAGGTGCACACGCAGCCAATGTGGCATTCCACTTTCCTGGAGTGCTTCTGTGGTGGGGGCCCCAATCATGATGCATGACCAGAACACACTTCTTGGAAAACATCAGAAATGGTCTTTGTGGATCCAGTCCCAGTTGGCTGCTCATTTCCATGCACCATGACCCCCCCAGTGAAAGACACAGGGACCCCCAGAGCAGGCGCTGACCAAGTGCTAGGGACAGCAAGGCCATGGGCAGTGGATATCTGAGTACAGAAGGCCATGACCTTCTTCAGCACTGGGTGCTTGGGACTCTGGAGAGAGGGTCAGGCTGAGCTGTGGGAGGTCTGCAAGCTCATCTTAAAGAGGCAGCTGCCATTCCATCACCAGGAGGAAGTAGCTAGCCTACCACCAGTAGTATTTTGTCATGGAGAAGCAAAACATGGAGAAGCCGGGAGAACCCTGGAAGGCTATCTTCTTCCCAGCCTACCCCCCAGATAACCACATGGGGGACCAAGGGCCACACTAGTAAGCTGGCTGAGGATCATCAGATTGAGGGCTTTTGAAGCTGAGCCATAAAAGCTGCTCAATATGAGGAAATGGCCCAGCAACTGGGGTTCTCTGGACACTCAGCAGGAATAAGGTTCATTATTTCTCACCATCCAAAGGGTCTCTTAGAGGAACATATTTTTTGAGTGCCTACCTTGAACCAGGCATTCTGTAAAGTATTCACAAACATTATCTCAGCCTATCCCCTCAACCACTCTGTCACCCTGCCAGGCACTGTTACCCCCTTCCACAGATGTGGAAACGGAGATGGAGGAACTTTACCCAAGGACACCCAGCTCAGGTAAGTGGAAGAACACATTTGTACCTCATCCATGCTCCTATCACACTGCACTGCCTCCAACATCAGGTACCTGGGACCAGGTGGCATTGCAAGGATGTCTGGGACAGACTGGACACACATCAAGAGAGTGGACCAGGCCAAAAGGAGGACAAGGTGCCCTCTCCAGCCAGGGCCCTGAGGGCTCCAGGGAGAGGAAAATCTCTTTTGCAGCCAATAAATGCAAAGTAGGAGGACCTGCATATACCTCTGAGGCCTTAATAGCCAGGCTGGGGACAGCTGCCTGGCGGGGCTGGAACCTGCAAGAGACCAGGGCCAGCAGAACTGAATAAGCTCTTCAGAGGATTCTATGGGGACTGGCTGATTTGGTGTGCAGGTCAGCTGACTCATAAGGCTGGCGACATTCGGGCCCTGGTGGAGTCGACCAGGGTTCCCTGAGGCCACCTCAGCCTAATGCACCAGAGACATTTTGTTAGGAAGATTACAGACTGAAGCGGGAGCACCAAAAATAATGAATCTGTGAGCGGATTTTATTTAGGTGTTGATTCATGGTTGTCCTATAAGCCAACAGCCCGTCAGAACTATAAATTAACGAGATAAAATGTTGCTGGCCCTCCATATTTCAGGCCGGGTATTGACATTTTAGAATCCACAGATTTTTAACTGTATTGATTGAGGACACCAGGATAAATGGCCTTGGCGCCAAATTCCCATTAACGACAATGGGCACCAAGTGACTAATTCTCAAAGCGCTGCGGTGAGAACGCCCTGCATTGCCTTCTCCTGGCAGGGAGTTCTAATTAGATTGAAATGAAAAAGCCAAATCACCAAGGGTGGAAAGAGGCAGATCAAGTAAAAAGGAAAATCAGACTTGGTGATGAGAAAGGACAAAATAAGTCAAACCAGAGCCACAGGGCTGCCCAACCCACCAGCCTCTGCTAAAGAAAGCACCAGTACAACCTGGGATGGGGATGCAGAGCTGAGGTGGGAGACACATGGGGAGCCTACTCCCCTACCCCAGCAGCCACTGATGGGTTTCACTGCCCAGCAAGGGCCAGCCTCTACTCACACATGCCGAGCTGCTGCTCTGAGCCAGCCTGGCCAGATAATGAAGACACTAAGACTCCCTTGACAAGTCCCATTCACACGGCGTCTCCACACTAGTCAGGGAGACAGACACAGAAACCAGCAACCCCCTCAGCAGGAGAGGCCCCACCTAAGGAGCTGGAGGGCTTCCCCAGGGGTGAGGCCCAAACCCTGAGACCCTTTCCCCAAAGGGACAAAGAATATCCAACATGCTCACCACTATAGCCCAAGCACCAGGTCCTGTACCTAGTAGGTACTCAGTAAGTACCTACTGAATGAATGGAACTGAACTCTCAACAAATGAACCAGGTGGGGAATGCTATTCCCAGGAGATGGGTGGAGCAGAAAAGCCCTAAGGACAGAGGCTCAACCACCCAACACACCACAGCTGGGAGGAGCACGCTGGGCCTGGGGCCAGACAAGCTTTTCTCCAGTAAAGTTCTGCCACCAACTGGGCAAGGCATGTCTCTTCCCCTCCTCCGGTCCTCCACCCTGCCTCGGGTCATACCCAATCAGCTGCAGACACTGGGGAGAACTGCCCAGAGTACAAATCAAGCCATGATTCTCTCCTACTCCAAACTCAGCAATGGCCCCCTACTGCCATCTGCTGTGGCAGTCCCTAATTTGTCAGGCAGGAAGACTCTCTTCAAACATCTAAAAATTTCAGAACCACCCCCCCCACACACACACACACACGCAATGGCACTAACATCTGTTGATTGAGATCCATTGGGACAAAGGGCCACTAGGAATACATTACTGTTATTAAATGAACCTGTATTTGATCCATCCAACCTCACCCCTCACCTGCAAGAAGCACCGGTCCTGCACTCCATGGGTGGATAGTGTGGGTACCCAGGGGTGTTCAGTGACCCTGGAGTGGGGAATAGCGCCTGGAGAACACACACCTCATAGGCCAGGAACTACACCTTCAGACTCGCTGCCCCTGGGTCCCTGCACCCCACAATTCCAAACACACCATTGTGGTTCGTGTTCCTGTAACAAATGTGTCCTCATTGCTCTGCCTACTGAGAACGCACTTAACCTCCCCCTCAATCGTGCCCCCTTCACCTAAATTCTCTACCCCCCTAGTTCTCGCCTCAGAGTAGGTTCCACTTCTACCCAGAAGACATTCTTGATCTTCTAGGCTACAAGTTCCTGTACCTGTATCTCGCCCTATCACTGTGACTTGAGATTCTCTCTGCGCTTCTGTCTGCCCCTTTCGCAAACAAGAGCTTCTAGGGCACATCCTGGGTCTTGTTCCCTCTGTGTCTCCAATGCTGTACACAGTTTACTAGGAACACAGGTGTCATGGTGAGCCTGGCAGACCAGTGCCTGCAAACAGGAGTCTGACAGCACAGGGTGCCAGCCCTGAAGGGTGAGTGGGGTCTAAATGAGACCCCATACATAAGTGGGTGGTTGAGATATAACCTGCTGCAGTCATCACCAACTAGGTGGCACCAAACCCCTGAGCCTTGGCCCCCTCATTGACTCTGTGGAGTTCATGGTAAGACTACAAACAGTTGGGGGAAAAGACTTGGTTGAGAAGAAAAACACCATACACTCCTCTCATACAGTGGAGAGGGCACAGGATTTGCAATTGCAGACATGGCTTAAATCCCCACTTGCCATGCACCACTGGGAGGCTCTGAGCAAGCTACTTGCTGCTGTGAGCCTCAGGCTTCTCACCCATGAATAGGGAAAAAGAATCATGGGCAGCCTGTGGCATGGTACTGGCCATCGATGGAGCCACGAGTCTTGTCTTCATCCTCATTGCAAGCACATGAGGTTCGAGCAGCGGAGCAGTGAAGCTGCCCCTCAGCAGTCCAGAGGTGATGAGGGTATTCGAGGTAAGAAACAAACCGCACAGGTCCCCCAAACTATCCATTGGTTCCTTCCCTGTACCCCCTCCAAGCTGCTGGACAGAAACTGTGTGGTTGGGCTGAGAACTGTCATCTCCTGCTTGCCAGACCCTAGCGCCTCCACTGTTGGGCATGGGAGGTCTCTCTGCAGGCTGAAGGGGACACCTCATGGATGGGTAGCAACTCTGGCCTCCCCTCCTGGCCTTGGCAGAGTGTCCAGCAGAAAACTGACCAGAAGGAGCCCAGGGAGGAAAAGGCAACGTGGGTACTTAGACCATACAGCCTGAGTCGGGGCAGAGGTTTCAGGCCAGCTCCATACCTCTGGCTCTGTTCTCACCTGATGAGCACAAATGAGACCCCACTCAGGGGCTGCAGCTAGATTGGGTGCATAGGAGCACTCAGTAATATAAAGTTCTTTCCACTGACTTATCTCTCCTTCTCGCCCTGCTTGTCAAGAGCCCCCTTAGGATTTACCCAGCACAAATCCATCTTACCCAAATGCCTTTTCAGTGTAGGCATTAAAGCAGAACTCGTTTGCAGACTTTCCCTATGAGCTGGAATCATTCCTTACAGCCTTTCAATGATAATGAATTGACAGGAATTCTAAACTGATTCCAACCAAAGGACATTGTGATAAAGCTAAATCTATTTTGGTACAAATTACATGTCAGAAGTTGATTAAAAAGCCACCTCTTTATCCAGCCCCACAGCTTGGGGCTGAGACAACCTTGGGGCTCTGTCCTCTGGGCAGGCTGGCAGAGGCCCACCTCGAACCCTCCTAGGAGACTCTTGGTTCCAGGCAAATGCCTTGGAAACATAATCTCCAAATGTGAGCCTCCTTTGAGGGCTATGTCCTATTGCCCTGAAACTGTATGCAGCTTGTGGCTACCGACCACCCAGAGAAGCTTCCCAACGAGAAAGCTGACTCAGCTGCCAGCTCCGAGGGAGGGGTGCCTCAGGATAACAATGCAGTGAAACACACCTGTTTCGAGGTCTGTTAGGTGTAGGGCGAAGTCGAAGCCACCACTGAGGATGCGCCGGCCACAGGGAGACCACCGGGCAGTCCGCACCGCCTCGCTATGCAGGGAGTATGTCTGTAGGCAGCGGCCTGAGTCCACAGCGTTCCACACCTACAAGGCAAACACAGTGCCCGATGTCAAAAACAGGGACCTGACCTCCAGGGCTCAGCTTGACCCCTCTACAGGAGGAGAGGGACTCACAGTGGAACTAGATTCCTGTTATTTTACCATCAAAACAATACCTAGTTGTTAGACTTTTCCTTACAGAGGTGCAAAGACCTGGGGCTGATGAATTGAAGGGGAGCTTTTTCCCAAAACCTTTACTGGGGTTAAGAAAGCCCTCAAGAAAACAGCATGCCTGACTTCTGCCACCCAGCCTCCAAAGCCCTTCCCATCCACTCTGCAGCTACTCCCCACCAAACATCCTGCTCTGCTCACACTTCCTTTAGCCCAGTGTTGCCTGCATCTCTGACATCTGTCCTCTTGGACAGGGCTTTGTGAGCCCTGGAATGAACACTACACCAGGTCAGGCTCTCTTCAGCCCAGTTTTAAGAGTAAGATCCAAAACAGAGCTTGCCACACCTGTGCATACAACCAGGCAAGGACCCAAAGGGCCAGCTGTCCTTTTTTCTGGGCAGAAGGTACTATACTTCATTCCCACCCTAGCTTTCCACGGTGATGAGGTCTGTGGCAGAAAGCCCCATGTACACTCAGTGACTTCTGAAATACGTTCTTTTTTTTTTTTTTTTTTTAAAGGTTTTTTATTTATTTATTTACGATAGTCACAGAGAGAGAGAGAGAGAGGCAGAGACACAGGCAGAGGGAGAAGCAGGCTCCATGCACCGGGAGCCCGACGTGGGATTCGATCCCGGGTCTCCAGGATCGCGCCCTGGGCCAAAGGCAGGCGCCAAACCGCTGCGCCACCCAGGGATCCCTGAAATACGTTCTTAAGCCAAGTATAGAACCACACAATCTAAGAGCCAGGGCCACTCCACATGTGAGAGAGCCCTTCACCAGCTCTCCCAAGAACCCCAAGGAACAGCTGGTTAGCATGGAGCCTGGCAGGGCTGGCTCTGGGCTTGGGCATGCACTGATGCCCAGGAGGGCTAGTCACCTACCTTCACTGTCACTACAGGAAGCAGGGATGCTCCTGCCCAACACCTGAGGTGGCTCAGAGGATCGAACATGAGAAGCAAGAAGAGCATCTGCAGCCAAAACATGGGCATCAGAGCCAAGTGTCTCCTATGTGCTTGCAGGTCATGTGACTTGGCCTCCCTGGCCTCTATCTCCTCTTCCACAACGTGGGGGTAAGAAGACCCTCATCCCAAGGACTGTGGTGAGGGATAAGTGGGGCTGGTGGGCGTGCTCCTTGGGGCTTGCCATGCACAGAGTTCTTAAAAGCAGTGTTCTCAGACCCTCTCTCAGTTACATCAGGAACCCAAGCTTCACATCTTCATTTCCCTAATATCCCAAAGTGTACCTACACATCCACAGACCCAATCTGGAGACAGACTTCCTTTCAAGATGGGAAAATTCATCCTGCTGCATCTTCAAAGTCCTCAAAATGCAAAGGATCAGAGTTCTGAAAGAATGTTTTCTGGGTATATGTAAATGTCTGAGCTTAAGAAAATAAGAGGTCAATAGCAGCCATCAAAGCATGCTAAGAGCTCGGATCCTTTTTTTCTTCTTAGGGGTTAATAGCTAGGGTCTCAAACTGAAAAATCAAGAAATAGCAGCATTTACATTTGAAATATGGACAGAGGGGTGCCTGGCTGGCTCAGTCTGGTAGAGATGCAACTCATCTCAGCGTGAGTTCCAGCCCCACGTTGGGCGTGGAGCCTACTTAAAGAAAAAACAAAAAGTTTGAATTATGGATAGAAATAATGGAAGAAACAGCCAGAAGACTTCAAAGTGGAGTGGGAGTTTGTGGTAGAACAGAGTGCAGTTTTTTCCAAAACTATGTACAAGTAAGACTAATAGAAAAAAATAAAGTAAAATTAATGAGCTACACCTACAGGGTTAACATGGCTAAACAATAGAAAACATAATATTGATTATATAAGACAAACTGCATATATGCAGCAAAAAGCCATCTAAATTATAAAAACACACGAAACACTACTTAATGCTCATAGCTTCTACTGAAAAAGGAAGGAAGGAAGGAAAGGAGGTAGGGAGGGAGGGAAAAGAAAAGAATAAGTGTGGGGAGAATGTGGAGAAACTGGACCCTCCGTGCACTGTTGACCTCTCCCTCTGCCTCCCCACCATTGATGCTCTCTCTCGCACCCACTCTCTCAAATAAATAAAATTTTTAAAAAATTATGCATAGAGTCACCAGAGGATCCAGCAAGTCCACTTGTGTGTACATACCCAAGAAACTGAAAACAGGGTCTCAAAGAGATATCTGCACACCAATGTCCATAGCAGGAGCCAAAAGGTGGGAGCAACCCCAGTTAGTCTATCAACAGATAAATGGATCAACAACACATGGTCCATCCATACAATGAACTACAATTCAGGCTTAAAAAGAAGGGAGATTCTGACACCTGCTTCAATGTGGATGGACCCTGAAGACACCGTGCTGGGTAACATAAGCCAGTCACAGAAGGGCAAATACTGTATCATTCTATTTACATGAGATTCCTAGAAGGTCAAAATCGTAGCTATCGAAAGGAGAATGGAGGCGCCAGGGACTGGGTAGGGGAGAGTAGGAAGTCAGTGTTTAATGCGGACAGAGTTTTAGTTTTATGAGACAGAGTTCCAGAGATGGATGGTGATGATGGTTGCACAGCAATGTGAATGAATGTGCCCACTGCCACTGAACTGTGCACTTGAAAATCGTTAAAACAGTGAATCCTGTGCTTTATGCATTTCACCACAATCTTAAAAACACACATGATGCAAAAATCTATCATGTTTATTTGTGCATTTGCAGTAAGACTATAATAATATGTATGAAGATGGCAGTCACTCCAGGGAGTGGCAGGCAAGGATGGGGCTGGGTGAAGAGCACTATGAACACTACATTATATTTCCGAGAGAGAGAGGAAAAGAGAATATGACTATGCCTTGAAGCAAATATTCCCAAATGTTTCCATCTATTAAACTATTCATTTGGGGAGACACCTGAGTGGCTCGGTAGGCTAAAGCATCTGACTCTTGATTTTGGCTCAGGTCATGATCTCAGGGTTGTAAGCTCTAAGCCCCATATCTGGCTCCGTGCTGAGCATTAAGCCTGCTTAAGATTCTCTCTCCCTCTAACGCTGCCCCTCCCCACCAAAAAATAAATAAATAAAAATAAACTCATTTTTTCCATTCATTCAACAAACATTTCCTGAGTACCTGCTATTAGCCAGGCATTGTTCAGCAGTAAATAACTAAAACAAAATCCCCTATCTTCAATGAGACAGACATTAAACAAGAAAAACAAGTAGCATCTAGACAGTATACAAGGTGATGTTAAAGACTAAGGGCATAAGTGAGCAGGAAAGGGGACCTAAGGTCAGGAGGAGGAGTGGAAATGGTGGTGGCTTTTAAGGAAGATCTGAAAGGGTGAGGAAGGAAGCTGTACAGAAATCAGGGAAGAACCTTACAGGCAGAAACAGGGCCCCTCTGGCTACTATGCCAGGAATAGAGTGCAGGGCAGGGGAGACACAGGGACACAGTGTGGAACTTCTGCAAGAATCCGGGGGAGAGAGAAGCACAGCTGGACCAGTTGGAGGCAGTAGAAAAGCAGCCTCTCTTGGAATGTAGAACCAATAAAATAAGGAGAAGGAGGAGAAGGTTAAGGAATGAGGAGGAAAGAAGGGGAGGAAGAAAGAGAAGAGGAGGAGAAAGCACCAAGGCCCAAAGCAGCAAACTGGTGAGTCTGAATTCTTGGCCAGGGAGGCCTTCTGAATCAGCTGTGGAGACATGTTTAAGGCAATCCATCAATCTGTAAAATATCCGATAACTCTCCTCTGAAGTGAAAAATGCATACTTGGCTCTCCTGGTTGATATACACACAAGGATAGCGTCAGAATCAATGCAGACCAGTCAGCCACTTCTCAAAGCTACCCAGGGTGAAGGAGAGAAGAATCTCTGCTAATCGCTCTCCCTAATTGAATTTAATGTTCACTGTCAGGTTTTAAAGATTAATTCCCAAACACTGTGGCAGCCTGAAGTGTGTACCTTTTTCCAATTAAGTAATTAGAGATACCAATCTGCCTCCATGGAATTAAGGAGTTAAGTCTTCTGTCAAATGTTCTAAGATGCCTTGATGCATTAACTCGAGAGAGACATTCTATGTGTCCAACAGAAATCAGATTCAGAAAGAACATGACAAGTAAAATGTGCATTTGCTTGGCTGTACTGTATTTACTGTGGGTTCCCACATCCTGGTTACTGATACACAGCCCCATTAGGGGCTCCTCACAGTCTCTTAAGACCTATTGCTTTAGCAACATTCCCCCTCCCTACCTGTCCACCTTTTGTTTTTGATGACAAAACAAATACAACCTCCTTGTAAAATATTCAAATTACATAGATGTGCAAAAAAACAATATCCCATAGGAATCAACTGCAAGATTGTGGTTTTTCTTATTTACAAGTAAGTCTGCCCTGAGAAACAAACCTCAGAAACACAAAGAAAAAAATAAGAATCATCCATAATTCTACCACCTGGACATAATGGCTATCAAACTTCTGGGTGAACTTTGCCTCCGATTTGGCCCCTCCCTGACATCTCCTGCCTTGCAGACCTTCCTAGTCCACCATACCTCCTGGTCTCTTTTCCACCCCTGACACTCCTGTTGCCCCACGACATCATTCCAGAGACCACTATCAGACTCATTGGCTCAGCAAGCCTGTGCAACCAGTGCCCAAATTTCACCAAGAAATGTGCCTGCAAAAGCTTGGGATTCCTTTACAACGTGAGTGTCAAGGGCTAGAATTGCATTGAATCTACAGACCAATTTGGGGAGATGCCTTAACAATATTCAGTCTTCCAATGCATGAAAAGGATATGTCTCTCCTTTTATTTAGGTCTTCTTTAGTTTCTTGAGTGATATTATGCAGTTTTTTAATGAAAAAATCTTGCACATCTTTTGTCAAATTTATTCCTAATGACTTCA